CACACAATGGTCTACAACTCCAGATTTAGGGGATCTAATACCCTTCCTGGTTTCTGTGCATGACCACAAGTCACCCTGCTCCCACATCACATACACACACATATGTGCGCACACACACACACACACACACACACACACACACACAAATAATAAATAAATAAAAATAAACCTTAAAAACCTAGAAATGTTGTTAGTATTTAAAAATAATGGTGGAAGATAAGATGTTTACATTTTTAGGAACGTATGTAGACATAAGTACAGTAATATTCTTTATGATCACTATATTTGTATATGTTTTGTTTGGTTGTCTTATGTGTTTAGAATGTTTTAAAGAATGTCAAGGGAAACACAATAAATTTTCCCTTAAAACAAATGACACATGGTGGATTTTTTAAAAATGAGCTTTTCTGGTTAGTTTCCATTGCAGGTTGGAGAGGAAATGTCAGGGTGGAGTGGGTTATAAGTTAATATAAGCAGGTGAGACAGAAACGGAAAGACAGATGAGGCAGTTATCATGGCGGAAACATGTAAGCGAGTGCCAGTAAGCTGCGGGGTTAAGATTAATATTTCAAGGCAGCGCTTTTAAAAGTCAGAACCGTGCAGAAGAGTCTATGATGAGCAAAATAATGTGGTTTTCAGCACAATATGGAAACTAAGGTGCCCACAATGGGTGATCTGAATGGACTGGTTAGTTCAAGGAATAGGAGGGGTTGTGTGGAAAAAAAAAAAGAAAATGCAAGTCCATGGAGACATGCTGTCTTGCTTGTTTATTTTAGAGGCTGAAGACCCTTGAATCCAACACCTTCTGCTGTCAGCTTGACACAGTCCAGAGATACCTAAAGGAGTCTCAGTTTGCAGGGGTGGGGGTATGTTGGTCAGATTGGATTGAGGTCATGTCTGTGCAGACATTTTCTTGATAACCGATGATAAACCAGTTCATTGTGAGTGGTACTATCTTTAGGCAGGGAGTCCTGCCTGGGCTGTTTAATTATGGAAACTTACTATTGTAGAAGTTTCTTAAAATATATATGAAAGAAACATAAATAGAGTCACCAATAAAAGGGGAGAGAATGCCCCAAATAGACGTCTTTTGCCAACAAGTAAAACATTCAGTGTCAGATAGGGGTTACATTACAGTTGAGTCATTGACCAAAGGGGGCCCATGTAAACCCCCAAACAACACAGGCTATTTCTAAGTCTATTGGTTGCTCTCCACATACTGATGGTAAGGCCCTATTGGTGAAGACAACACTTACATATTTCATTGAACATGGAGAAGTTGAATTAGCTCCTAACTCATATTAGGATATTAGAAGGTACTTTACATGCTACTAGAGAAGAAAGGCAACCACCAACCCTGCTACAAACCCTGGGATCTACAGCAGTGGCCTGGCTGCATGATAATGGCACAGATGTTGTGGGAGTAACCAATTAATCACTCTCCGATTGTATCTAAGGTCCACTCTAGGACATGGAATACATGCTAGACACTGCTCATGAGGCCAAGAACCTGAGACTAGAAAGGCCATGGGTCTAGGGATTAACCAAATACTATTGTTCTATTAAAGAAATATAGCAATAAAATGACTCCTAACAACGTTCTGCTATACCTATAGATCAGTGCCCTGTTCAGACATCATCAGAAAAATTTCCTCTTACAGTAGATTGGAACTAACACAGAGACCCACAATTAGACATTGTGCAGAAAGTGAGAGACTTTGGAACACTCTGTCCTAAATGGGATGTCTTCATCAAACCCCTCCTTTTGGGGCTCAGAAAGCTATGCAAAATAGGAGGAAAATTTGACACTAAGGAAACAGTGTCTTCTAGACACAACACAGCTGATGCACCTATGAACTCACAGAGAGTACAGTAATGCACGGAGCCAGCACAAGTTCAAGCCAGGTTGGGATGGAGTCCCAGCACTGAGACAGGGGAATGAACATGAGTTCCTATCCCTAGCTAAGAAGGTGTCTACAATTGACAACTGCTTGCAAAGAAAACTTCATTTTATCCAGTGGAGTCTCACTGAATATATAAACCACACTAAAGGGCAGGTATGGGTCATGCCTAGCAATAGATGGTCAATGTAAATCCAACTCAGGGGTATTTATGAATATAGCTTGTCTTTTGCATGTGCATTATGGCTTCTGATTTTGTGTTTTTATGGGCTTTGATTTTTTTTGTGTGTATGTTTCTTTGTGTATGTTTTTCTCATGCTTTTTCATTGTCTTTAATTTTTTGTTTTTGTTTGTTTGCTAGAGAAAGAGATGGAAGCCTGGAGTTGGGAGGGTGGGAAGATGGAGGGAATCTAGGAGTAGTTGCTAGGAGTAGCTGGGGGAGTGGAAAGCAAGATCAGAGTATTTCATGTGAACATTTTATTTTCAATACAAAAAAAAAGGACTATTGAAAACAGAAAGCCAGGTAGCCGAGCCCAGGGAACATGCCAGCAGGCAGTGCTCCTACATGATTTCTGCTTCAGTTCCTCCTTGATCTCCCGCCCTGACTTTCCTCAATGATGGATTGTGACCTGGGAGTTGTAGGATTAATTCCTTTCTTTCCCTAAGTTGCCTTTAGTCATGGTATTTATCACAGCAATGGAAAGCAAATCGGAACACTAACCTGTCCAGGTCTGTCCTTACCTGGGAGGTGGAAAAGTCTAGGCGCTCTGGTTGTGGATTCGGGCCATTAGGGTCTGTGGGGTGCGTGATATCTGCGTGGAAGGCTGAATTTTTTTTCCTAACTAGAGACTCAATGTGACTTGCCACTTTGTGCCCCCACAATCACATCACAGCCCTCCAACTGTGAGTCAAAATAAACACACCCTCACCTCTTCCTCCCTCCCTTGCTTGCTTGTTTTCTGTTTGGAGGAGACAGAATGGTTTATTTCATCTTAAAGTTCCAGGTTGCAATTCATCATTGTGAGGAAGTCAAGACAGGAACTCTAAATAGCTAGTCGCGCCTCAACCACAATCAAAACCAGAGAGAAACGGAAGCAGAGATGCCTGCTCTTTCAGTTTCCTGACTATACCCCTCCCGCCCTTTTTTTTTTTAAAGGAAAACTAACATATCTTTTATTTATTTTTGGACAGTTTCACACACAAACATGTACTCTACCAACTCCCCTCCCTTTCCCTTCAGGCACCCCATGTCCCTCCCCCTCAACCATGCCCCTTTCACCCTGACTATGCCCCCCTCACACTTTCATGCCCACTCAGATTTATTCACAGTTTCAATGGTTAAATAACCCACTGAATCCAACTAGTGCTGCTTGTGAGGTTACTGATGGATCTCGTTGGCTTGATCTTATTCAAGTCTTGTACAGGCAGCCATGGCTACCATTAGTTCATGAGTTCAAGGCCATGTCATGGTCAAAGGACTAATTCAGAGCACTCCTCCATGCTCTCTTACATTCTTACCACCCCTTCTTCTGTGACTTCCCTGAGCCTTGCAGGGCAGGGGAGCTGATGTGGATGTCCCACTTAGGGAAGACTTGTGGTCTTTTTATGGTCACTTACTCTGACCAGGCACAAGCCTCTGCATCAGCTGCCGACTATCACAGACTGAAGCTTCTCTGGCTGAAGTCAAGGGCAGCACTGATCTATAGTCCCGTCCTTCCTTAAGTGGATTTGTCAGGTATTGTGTCATAGTAATGAAAAAGACCTGACACGGATGTGGAACACTGCCTGACACTTCCCCAAGATCCCCTTCCAAACTGCTCTCCAACGTTTCTAGGCAGGTAATGAAGGACAGAGCAAGGGAAAGGTAATAGTGGTAATAGTATAACTCTGACTCCGGATTATGGGCAGGTGAGATCAGCAGCTTTGCCCGCCCCTCCCCCTCCCCGAGAATCCTGTGCCTCCAACATTTTTTCACATTAAAGCCAATCAGTTATCTGGTATTTGTTGTCAGGTCCTGCATTCTTCTGGGAAGCTAGCAGCAGGGAGAGGGAGGTCTCACCTGTTTTCATCTCTCTTTGAAATCTGGGCCAGCACTCTGGAAAGAAACAGGCCTTGTATTCTGGGGCACAGCTTTTGTTCTCAGACTTCAAAGTGTAACATTGGAATAAAACGTCTTCCCCCATATAAGCCTATGGATTTTCCCAGGGGAAAGGGACGGATTTATGTTTAATCAAGTTTGGGGAATGATCTGGGTGCGAGCCGGCTTCACGGAGTTCTCTCTGGAAGAACCTCAGTCACTGAGCATGCGCATTGAATTTGAACTTGCAGGAAGCGTGGCATGAAACCACACCCATGAAATCGACAGAAAAAGTCAGGATTCCTTTTCTTTTCTTTTTCTTTTATTTATTTATTAATTTTTTCTTTTTTCTTTTTCTTTTTTTTAATTTTTATTTTTCCATTCAATTCAATTATTTACACTTCCTTCCCTCCTCCCAATCCTCTCCCGCTCCCCAGGGTTTATTTTCTGGTCTCTTTTTGTTTCTAACCAAACATAAGTATTGGATCTAATGGATAGTACAATCGTTTTCCACAGGGCTGTCTCAAAGAACAAGACAGACAATGAAAAGTCACGAATCATGGAGACTGGGTCCTCGCCAGTTCTTCACTTATTGCTGGAATGAGATACTTAATAAGAAGCAATTTAAGGAGGACGGGGTTTATTGAGTGCACCGGTTGTAGGTCTAGTTCATCACAGCGGGGTTGCTATGGCAGCTACAATGGCTCTCAGGTGACAGGAGGGTGAGGCAGCTGGTCACATTCTGCCCACACTCAAGAAGCAGAGAAAGATGAATGTTTGTGCTTAGCACACTTTCTCCTTTTGGGATGTAGCCTAGCCCATGGGGTGATATCACCCACATTTAAAAGTACATCTTCCCTTCTCTGTTAAAATTCTCCGGAAGCGGCCTTACAGTCACAGCTAAGAGGTGTGTCTTGTAGGTGATTCTAATTCCAGCATAGCTGATAATGAAGATTAGCTATCAGGGTATTTTATTTGAGTGACTGAGAAACCTACATAGATTTCTCTCTCACCAGCTGGAGAACCAGGAAAACCAGTAGCATGACTGAGCGCAGGTTTGTAGACTTGAGAATGCGAAGAATTGATGGTTTGACCTACAGTGGTCCAGAAATACTATTCGATCTACAGGCTGGAGAAACCTGGAGAGATGAAATGGACAAGCAATGGAGAAGTTCATCTCCATTTCCAAAGACCAGGTAAGAATATAGCCTCCCTCACTCTACTGTTTTGTTACGATGAACTCTCAGGAGGCTGGGTGGCCCCTTTTCACACCGAGGGTGGACGTTACATATTCTACTCACCTGTTTGTATACAATCTTTACTAAACACGCTCACAAATACACCCAGGGAAGCTAAATACTCCATTTAAACACAAAGCTTTCCAAGCTTCCCTTTTACTACAAGAGAAATGGGATTCGTATTTACTGAAGCCTTGGATGTAAAATGTATCACCAGCAACCAGAATATTTCATAATGTAGTTAAGTTTTAGCATCCTAAGTCAACCAACCCAAGTATTTCAGTTCATTTTACATTGCTATAACAAAATACTTCACACTGGACAACTTAGAGGAACAGGATTTTATTTTCTCTTACTTGTTACAGGCTTTGAAATCTGAGATCAAAGTACTGCCGGGTTGACTAGTGAGGTTGGCACTCCAAGGTGGCATCTTGAGCACCCTCCACGGGGGAGGAATACTGTGTCCACAAGCCACAGAAAGGCAAGAGAATGGGATGCTGCCTGAATCCCCCTTGTAAGTCCTGTAAATGAGGAGCCCTATGACCTATTAACCCCTTAAGAGCCCCATTGTTAAGGCAATAACAGTGGCAACACCTGGAATTTAGAGACCGCATAGTGAAGCCATGAAGCAAATACAGACCTTATGGCGGGACGAAGAGTAGGCACAGCCTGAAGTGGTTGGGTTAATGACTGTCTGAAGGAATGAATGAGTGAGTGGATAAATAAGGGGATCAATGACTAAAGGTGATCTGCCACCCACTGCCCATCTCAAACCCAAAGGCTCATCTCGCACTGAAATCCTCACGGCAGCATGAAGCTGGGGGTGGGAGGTAGGAGACGTATTTTCCTAGGGTGTAATTACTTACCTGGGGCTCAGATAAAACAAGATTAAGGAGGTCTTTCTCCTTTTCACCTGATGATTGACATAGAAAGCTATCAATCACCCAAGCCCCATTCCCGGTGACCACTTGTCCAACTTTGGTTTGAGGATGGCGGACAAGTGACAAACAAGCAGCATTCTCTATTGCTCTCAACTCCCTAACCACGCCCCTGTCTCCAGGAACACCCCCCCACACACACACACACACACTGGTGTCCCGGTGTTTCACCACCCAATACAAACAGAGCAAGAAAAGACTGAATGTATGTTCATGTGTCCTCACTGTTTAGGATCAGCAAAGCTTGGTGGAGAAGAAGAATGGCTTTCATTTCATCTCATCTGCACGAGCTCTCCTGTAACTCACCAGTTCTGCAATGGAGCGAAGCAGACAGTTCTTCATTATGCACCTTTATCATGCAACTCTTAAAGCAGAACTCAGAAAATACAAGAATAGGTGCTTTCATTGCTTGGCCTTATAATGAACTAGCACTGAATCAGCCACTCTAGCAGGGTAGCTCTGGGTACGGCTATTGTAAAACCATATTGTGAAAGAGATGCTTTTAACTGTCACATATCAGAAGTCATAGAAAACACCTCTGGAGAAGAGCTGGGTGGGCAATGGCTTGTGCTCAGATAAAGAGGGATTTCGGAAGTGGCGCCTGCCACACACCAGCTTGAAAGGGTGCTTGCACAAACCTGTTTCCAGTCATATGTCTCCAATGCCATGCTTCTTAATCCACCCAAGTTTCTACATCTCAAATCAACCAACTCAAGTGTTTCTGTTCGTTTATGTTGCTGCAACAAAATGCTTAACACTGGATAACTTAGAGGAGCAGAACTTTATCCTTAGTTCTAGAGGTTGTGCAGTCCAAAATCAAGGTACTGTCCATTGAGGATGATGCTCCCCTTCCAAAATGGCATGAAGGAAAATGATGGCGTGGCTCCTAGTGTGGGATATTCATTTTCACTGTCGGTACCCGACCTCTCCCATGCTGTTGGTGCTCAGTGGAGTGCTGATGAGATATTGTCTTCACTGTGAGTGTAACTGTCCTCTAAATAAAGGAACCTGACTGTTGGGCACTTGTGCAATTCTTTCAGTTATTTTTATACAGTAATGGAGATGGCCACTGATTGTTGATACAGGGTAAGAGAGTGAGTTTGATGGGAAGGAGCAGGTATTCGTTATGGAGAAGTTCTACGCTCTTGCTCAAGGCAGAAGCAAATAGCTGAGGTCAAGGCAAATTGTGTATAAGAAACAGGGTAGATTTATAAGAAATTGGATAAAAATGAAGACTGACACTATGAGTCAAGCAGAAGACAATTGACGGGCAATAAGTAACCAAGGGATTCTACAGGCTGAAGGCAAATATGAAGCAAAGAACGCAAGGAACCTATATGATAGAGGCAGTGTTTTGGCTGCTGCTGCTGCTGCTGCAGTTCAGAGAAACTTCCTACCCTTTTTTGATCATTTCTGTCTTGATCAGGGTACATATTTTCTCCTCAAAAAAAAAAAAGCCACATCTGTATTTGGCTCCGGACATATTTCTAGGCCCATCACAGTTCCATGTCCACAGCTATCAATCACATTGTATGAATGTGGAATCTCTGACACTGGTTACAGGCTCATAGACTAGGCAGCACATTCCCAGCTGGCAATGCTGATAATAGGGGACTGTATCATGAGAGCAACAATCTCATTCAACACTGAGGAAGTGGTGTCTGGTTAGAGGAGGCTGCTGTGGGCATGTCTTCGAAAGGTGTACCTTGTCCCTACTCTCTCTTTTCTCTCTCCCTCTTGTGTGTGTGTGTGTGTGTGTGTGTGTGTGCGCGCGCGCTCACATGCATGTATGCAAGTACACGCATACACATATTTGATCCAAGCATTGCTTTTTAATTACTATCTGGCCTACCTTTTGAATTATAGCTAAGTCTGCAGAGAGGCAACCAAATATCCCAGGGAAGATATCTCACAAGCAAGCATAACCAAGAGGCAGTGTGAGAGAGAGCCTTAGGGAGTCTCGGGCAGTATCTGTTTCTTCTTGGAGCTAGACTCTGGAGGCCACAGGATAGGGTGGGGGTGAGCAGTTGGAGAAACCTAGTCTTCACGTTTTATGATTGGGGGGGGGGGGAGTCCGTGACAACCACACCTTGTCCAGTTGGAGCTGACAGATCCACTTTGAGCTTCTCCACATTTAGGGTACTCTTTTTTTGTTATGTTCCTAAATTAATTTTGGAGGATCTGGGATTAAAGGTTGACCTTCTCTGAAGGAGACTCCATTAATGGGAACTGAGACTTCAAGCTAATAATGGAATCTATCTAAACAAACCCTGGGGCTTAGGAGATGGACCAAAGAAAAGAATTAGAATGAGATCCAGGCTGTACTTCCTTGGAAGGAATTAGAAAATTAAACTAAAAGAAATGTTCTTGGTGGTAGGGTTGCATACCCAAGTTTATTAGGGAAAAATGTATTCATGCAATGTTTAAAATTATTAAACAAATATGTAATTTATTCTCCCTTGTAAGTGAAGCAGCAGCTCTAACAGAATCCCAGAGAACACTGGGAGGTATATGCTATTTCTGCAAAAAGAAGCTGTGTACATAAGCAAGTGCCAGAATGGAGAACAGGGAAAATCCTCCTTCTAGCTTGTGTATTATGCAGAGAAGAAAGGGAGGAGAATATGGGTACTAGAAGTCAGACCTAATTATCTTGATATCCTTGCCCAGAGAATGACTAGGAAGCATGTACCCAGACTGCACACCACTTTTGTTGACTTCATTCATATTGTTCCTTGACTTTATCTTCTGCAGTGTGTGTGTGTGTGTGTGTGTGTGTGATTTTAGTTTGTGAATTTTGCAAGCCTTTGCAATCCTCTTGCAATGAAGAGAAATATATATTCATTTCAAAAATATATAAAAATGAAGAAAAATAGTATAAAAAGACTCAGTCCGAAAAATTGACTGGTCTTCAGTTTCAGAAAGAAAGAGAAAAGACCTACACATGTTCACTTTATTCATCTAGGAAGTGCTGGAGAAGTTTGTCTTTTCTTCTCTTCTGTTAATAAATGAAATATTGGGTGTGCATGTGCGTATGGGTGTGTGTGTGTGTATGTGTGTGTGTGTGTGTGTGTGTGTGTGTGCATATGTGTGGTGGAGGATTGTCAGGCATAGAGTTAATGCTAAGGTTGCTAAATATTTCATGAGATAGGAAGTGACACAGAGAATATTACACACACACACACATACACGCACACACACGCCATATGTCATTGTTCAGAGAATTAGAACATGATCAAGTTCACGTAACACTAAAATATGCTGCACATAATTTTAATCTTTCTTTGATGATTCGGAAACTATTTTAGGTTCCTGCGCCTCTGGTTTATTACTATGAACATAAGTTATTTTCATGCAATTCTGCAAAAATCTAAGTTGTTCACATTTCTCTGGCTGTTTTGTTCTGAGTGAATGGGAGTTTTAGAGCAATGTTTTAGTTATTGTGCGGAATGAAAAGTGAAGGTCCAGGTCATCCCGAGTTGTGACTGGGAAAACAGAAACATCTAAGGTTGTGAGGAACATGAAAACTGCAGCTTGTCCTCTTTGGGTGATGAGTTCTCCAATCTTATCCACAATTCCCATGCAGAAAAGAATTCATGTTTACTTAAAGAAGTGAGAGGACCTTTTAATAGAGAGATTGTATTTTAGCAAGGTCTGCAGATAACAGCTAATTCTCTGAGACAAGGGGCCATTTCAGATGAAGTAAGGATGGGAACCCAGAGCCGGGGAGGTGCTGAGTAAAGCCCCTCACTTCTCAAAGTATTAAAGAGGTGGTGTGTGGAATATTAGCATCTATGTCCCTAGCCCTGCCCAGAAATACAGACTTTGGGACAAGAGAAGGGAATGAGCTGCTGAGTGAAGTGCTGTTCTTTCAGAGGACTGGAGTTCATTTCGCAACTTCATGTCTCACCAAACTCCAGCTCCAGGGCCTCTGGTGCCCTTTCCATGCATCTCTCTCTCTCTCTCTCTCTCTCTCTCTCTCTCTCTCTCTCTCACACACACACACACACACACACACACACACACCACCACCACCACCACCACCACCACCACCACCACCACCACCACCACCACCACGCCACACACAGTCCTGCTAAATGAAAGTTTAAATTACTCCGTGATTCACTGGCAAATGAAATCTAGAGAAACCTTGGCTGAGCATAGCATATTGCTGGTACTATTTGCTCACGAGACTGAAAGTATTGCCCCATGTTAAAGTCCTGATGCCATGAAAATGAATTTAAACCTCTGTCTGTAAGTCACAGAAAACATGGATATCTCTGAAGTAGATATTGAATTGCAGCATGTACCCTGTACCCTAGCCCATCAGGAGTCATGCTGTCCTTATTATTCAGGAAGGTCCAAAGAGCTCCCTCACGTGATACTCTTCTGAACTCGAAGTCCTGACCCGGTCCAGCAGGCTACAGATCACTGCTGGGACGGTCTCTCAGTGGCTGGTTGCCACCTACTGCTGAGGCTGTCATCAAGGAAGAGTGTCGCTCTGGTTCCTGAACTTTATATGACTATTAATAGGGAGAAATAGCTTAAAACAAGAACTTAATTTTTAATTAAGCAGGGGGTTTTCTTCTAAATTTGCTACTATAACAGAATACACATGCCTGAATTATTTAAGCATAAAAGAGGCTTGTTTGAGTTTACGGTTTGGGCTTCTTGAGTCTCTGTTAAGATTCTGATGGCACACTCACATTACAAAATCAAGGGTTTATTTGCAAAGATAATGAAGCGGGCATGAGAAAGGAAACAGAAGACCAGAGCCTTGCTTTATAGCATCCTTGTGATGGGTGAGCCCCCATGGTCTAATTATCCATTAGAAGTCTTAATATTATTCCACTGAGATTCAAATTTCAGCCTGAGTTTTGGAAGGGACAGATAACATCCAAGTCATACCATGAGGACCATTGAGCATCTAAAGACATTTGATAAATGAACGGAACATGGCACGCCACTTCTAGTGGGGCCTGACTTTGCAGCCATGGCACACCTGGCTTTGTTTCAGGCCTTGGGGAGTCAAAGTGAAGTATGTTCTTCTGAGGTAACTCAAAACCAGACAGAGGCAAGCAGGAAGCTTACAGTTTCCAAATAGCAGAGGAGGAGTCCAGTAGCGCCCATGAAGCACAATAGATCCCCATGTGAGTGACTATGGGTTGCAGCATGTCCAACTTACAGCGGAAGAGTTGCACACCAGATCACATATGGAGATGCGAGGCTTCGGGGTAGCAGCCAGAGGGTAAGCATGCAAGAGTAGGTGAGAACAGGAGCTAAAAGGCCTTTCTATAAATGACAGTGTTAGAGAATGTGAACTTCATCCCATAGGAGAATGTATGGGGATTCTGAAAAGGATATAGGCAGAATTGTGTTTTTCAGTAAATATTTTGTTGATAGCAAGGATGGTGAATGAAAAGAGAGTAACACAGGACACGCCCCACTTAGGAGTCTGGCTCTGCAATCCAAGAAACAGGAGTAAGAGCCTGGATACGGACGGAGTAAGGGTCATGGGGTGGAGGGTGCATTTCTGACCTGTAAGGAAGTGGTTAGGGGTAGAGCTTGTCAACTAGATTGTTGGGAAAGATTAAAAAGGAGGAGAGTCCAGTGATGCATTAGGGTGCAAGATGGACATTAGGGGGAGACTCTAATTTATTTAGAGGTTTGTGTCTTTGAAGGACCTTGTGGCATTTTGGTAGAGGAATTCAGTGTGGACCTAGGAGCTTGACAGAGGCTGAGAGAGGGAGATAGATGTTTTCGAAGCATGGAAGTAGAGACTTGGGTAGAGTAAAGGGCAGAGAAGAAAGGAGTGAGGTGTGAGAAGAGGGGTTAAGAAAGCCCTTTCAATGGCTGGGGAAAGTAGGGATTATAGGATGACCTTACAAAAGAGTCAGGACAGAAAAAAAAATGAATCATGGAGTTAGTCATAGGACATGGAGAACGTGCAGGCAATTCTGTATAAATCACCATGAGACTAAGTGGATTGGGAGCTAGAAAAATAAAGGCC